ATGTCTATGTAATATTAGAATTTTCTGAGACCATGAATTTTGGTTTTTCATTTTTCCCCCCAGTAAGAGGTTTTTATTTAATAGAATTGTTGGACAAAAGAAATTGCAATATATCGCAAAATATCACCTTGCTTACAGTATCGCAATATATCGGGATGTATCGTATCGTGACCTCTCTGTCATGATATGTATCGTATCGCCAAATTCTTGCCAATACACAGCCCTACTGCTGACTACCTGTGAGTTAATATGATGCTGCATGCTATAATCCCACACTTTCACAGCATTGTGCCCAGCTGTCAGCAGGAACCGACCATCTTCACTCGCAGCCAGGGATGACCACTCTTGTTTGTGCACCTTGGACACCTGCGGAGGAAAAACCTCAATGAGAAAGCAAATACTTCCCCATTTGGCTGACAATGGCCACAAGGCAAACTGGCTAACGTAAGAAGCTCTTCGCAGACCTCTCGCAGCAGACGGCCCGTCTTGGTGCTGATCCAGAGGAGCTTGTTTGCAGATGTGGCGACCAGCAGGTGCTCCGTCGAGGTCGGAGAGAAGCAGACCTTCAGAGCCGAGTCCAACTGGGAGCTCCCTACATTCAAAATGCTCACATCTACATGAAGCAACTAAACAGAGGGGTYGAGAGTCAGTGCTGATGCAGAAATAACGAACTAGATTAACAGGTTTAACAGTACTTTAATTAACATGTTAAATGGTCACAATGTGAAAAATGCAACTATAAACTTATGTAGATTTAGCTGGTAAATTACCGGTAATTATACGACTGATGAAAGGTGACAAAATACCTCGTCCAGAGAGCGGGCGTCAGCAATGGTGACAATGTACTCAGAGGGACCAACAAAAGCCAGACAGCAGCTGTCTCTGCTAACAGCAAGAGCATCTGGAGCGCGCTCAGAGCCTCGAGCCACAACATTACCTACAGACAGTTATGTACAGAGTCCATCAAATAATGCAGACTTGTGTTTTACTACAGTAAGTATCTATTTCTAAATACTTGTAGAGGTACTGTATCTGAAAGAGAAAGTGCTTTAAGACAACAGCAATATAGATAAAGTTGAAATCTTGTTTATTTTTTCAACAATATTTTCTCTTTTCCAAGGACTTTTAAACATAAGTCTCTTAATTTATTGAATCTACTTAAATTATTAGGCAAATCAAATAAATGATCTGTAAAAAGACACTTGTAACAAAATGTTTTATCATTGCTCATAATTAAAAAGTTGCAATATTGTTAATTCTTTTCACCATTTGACTAATTAATACGTAAAGTTAGTCTGCAAACATTGACCTTATGAATTTTGGGGTGAAATTTTGAGGTTATTTTATACCAATACTTTAGATTTAGTGTAGGTCGGTAAAATGTTTAGTTCAGTTTTTGTTTTCTTTTAATCCACTATGATTGATGAAAAAAAGCCCACTACTTTCATTTATTATTTTTTGTTTGTTTGTTTCTGAGGACATCAAGGATCATACTGAGATGGTCCGAGGGGGCACTGTGCGATCTATACAGGACTAATGTAATGTTTAAAACTTACAAATAAAAAGCATGTACATTTAAACTATAACAAAGAAGCAGTAATTAAACCATTATAATATTGTCCAGTAAATCTCATCACAAAAGTCACTGTATGCTACAAGTCTTATTTATCAATATCTGGGAAAAAAATACAAAAGAAAGCCAAAATATTTGAAAAGTTAAACTTCTCATTTTTGATAATCATTGCCACAACTACATTACATAAATACACAAGTCTATTTGCGCATTAACACACAGTACACACAAGCAACTCTGATGAGAGTGTGATCTTCCTCTGAGGCGTCATAAAGTGCCAGAGAACCCTCTGAATCAGCACTGAACATGAACTCCCCATCTGGAGAAAAGGCCAGCCCAATCACTTCTCCTCTGTGATGTCTATGTAACAAAATAGAAAACAAAATTATCTGTCACAGTACCATTTGTCCACGCAAACGTCTGATAACCAAAGAAGGAAAGAAAAAAAAGAAAACTGTAGTTAGAAATACTTATGTTCAGCCAGCAGTTTGGAGCTGGAAACATCAAAGACTCTGATGGTCCCTGAGCTGAAGCCACAAGAGAAGGTCTGCTCGTGTGGATGGAAGGCCACACAGCAGGGCCTGTCCTCAGATACGAAGTCATACAACTAAACAAAATCAAAGAGCCAGGACAGAAATAAATTAGCTTGTTTTAAAAAAATGACAACAGAGACAAAGTGAGTTTTCTGCAGATCATGTAGTTCAGCTTACAGTCTGAGGCCTTTGTCAAAACAGAACAAAAGAAAACCCACACTGTAACTTTTATTAGATAAAAGTTCTACACAAAAGGGTTTCATTGTTATGTAACAGAAAATGTGAGATCAACTACACACCTGTAATGATCAAAATGTTCAATGTTTGTCCGTTTTTAAGAATAAACAGGCCCTTCCAGAGAAAATTACTGACAAACATTTCCAAAATTAACACAATAAATTCAGTTCCATATGGCTTTACTCCAACAAAACAAAGAATATTAAAATAGCTAAATAAATAGCCATTTCTGAAGCAAGACTTTAAAGCAATTGTTGCTCTGCTTCAACTAAGTGAAATACAAATTAAAATATTTTTTCTACTAATAAAAAAAGTAATTGATAAACAGTTTCAGATAATAAAAAAAAAWATCAGTTGCTGCTAAATAAATAAAAAATAAGCATAATTTTGTATGACCTGATGCAATGAATCCATGCTCCAAACTCGCACGGTTCCATCAGAAGAGGCCGTGGTGAGGTGCCGACGGATGCCATCCACACTGAAGCTGAGCACAGTGTCTGTATGTGACCTCATCAGAGTGATGTAGCCTCGGCTGTTCACGTCAAGAAAACCAAAGTTACCAGCCGAGGTGGCTGCCAGGACCTGAAGGCCGTCAAACGAGACCAACACCTCACTCACAGGTCCCTCGTGCTCTGAAAAACAAYGACGCGCTGCTGGTTATTATTTGTGGAAGAACGTGGGGGTGCTCATAAACTTCACCTTCATGTCAGCATCCAAATCTGATCAACCAAAACTAAGTATATACTGTACACRTGCGTTTAAAGGTTTCAGAACATTGAAAACTGATCTGGTCCCGCCCATCAAACCATAAAATAAATACACCTCAGATAAACAACAAAACCTGGCTTATAACACAGTACTTTCTATGCTGCCACTGTGTAATATTAAATATATTAAAAAATATGCTGCAGTTTTCAGGTGAGTGTTATTGTACGGAAGCGTATTGCTATCAGGCAGGGAAAAAAAAATTCCGAGCGCTATCACGTTATAACGTGATACGTATCTTGTTAAAACGTGATACGTATCTTGTTAAAACGTGATACGTATCACGTTTTAACGTGATAGTATCTCGTTTTAACGTGATACGTATCTCGTTAAAACGTGATACGTATCTCGTTAAAACGTGATACGTATCACGTTTTAACGTGATAGTATCTCGTTTTAACGTGATACGTATCTCGTTAAAACGTGATACGTGTCTCGTTAAAACGTGATACGTATCTCGTTAAAACGTGATACGTATCACGTTTTAACGTGATAGTATCTCGTTTTAACGTGATACGTATCTCGTTAAAACGTGATACGTATCTCGTTTTAACGTGATACGTATCTCGTTAAAACGTGATCCGTATCTCGTTTAAACGTGATCCAAAAAATCCAGGAAAATCCAGGACTTGATCATATATCCCCTCTGGTCTGGGAATGTCTCGGTGTCCCCCAGGACGAGCTGGAAAGTGTCGCTGCAGAGAGAGCGGGGTCTCTCCTGCTGCCCCCCCTCCCCCCTGCCGCACCGGATAGCGGATAAGCCGGCCGGACGGACAATTTATATTGTTAGTCTAAATT